ACATGGGAGATAACTCACACAATCTGTGACATGGGAGATAACTATCACACAATATGTGACATGGGAGATAACTATCACACAAATTGTAACATGAAAAGAACCTAAAAGCTAAATCAGCTATACAGATAAACTGTAACATAAAAAAAACCAGATATACTGCTGAGCTTTACTTGTTCAAAACCTTAAAAAATTGTCCTTTGAAACCATTGGAGATGATTGCAATTCAACCTTGGACATAGAACAACCTTGAAATCTATAAGGAATTGATGAATTACAAATTACAGTACAAAAAACATACTGCTTTGTCTAATACTACTTATTATCTCCTCAATTATTTTACACATTTTGTTGAAGACATTCTATTGATTGGTACCTTAAGAAGTCTATTTTCATAACATCATCTGTCGTACCATAGTTAGAGAGACTTAAGAAATTGTTTGTTACAGTGCTAACTACTGAGTTAGATAATTGCACTTTAGTCTAAAAACCCTTAAAGACATTTAACATGTTCAAGTACAGTTTTGGAATGACTCAGTGCTGTGTTACACTCAAGTCCTCGTTAATTAGAAAACTAAAAACTGCTGAGATGCTTCAAGCAGTATGTAAGAGATGCACATTATATTTAACAAAAATCCTAACTTTACTAAACAACCTAACATATAGAATTTCCATTAATTGTCACAATTTTTTGGAAAACAAAAAATATAAAACCTGTGGATAAAAATCAAATGTACCCAATAATATCAGCCTAAGCCATCTGAGGTCAACTTTGCCTAAAGAACAAACCTTAGTTTCAGCATGATTACATAATTCATAAATTGGAAACTATCATTTTAACCTTACCAAGCAGATGGTATCATTGCGGGACTAGTAAGACAACAAGATCATGGCAGCTTTGCTTTATTTTCACTTTTATATAAAAGTGTTTACAGCATTTTGTTTGCAGCATATTCATTTTCATCCTGTCTTATGCAAGGTTGTTCATTTTCAGTTCTTACTAGGCCAGGATATTCATTTTCAAAATCTTCAACCCTCTAACTTTTTATTTAAGTTATTCACATCTTTTGCCTTATTTTCACTTTTATATAAAAGTGTTTACGGCATTTTGATTTGCAGTATATTCATTTTCATCCTGTCTTATGCAAGGTTGTTCATTTTCAGTTCTTACTAGGCCAGGATATTCATTTTCAAAATCTTCAACCCTCTAACTTTTTATTTAAGTTATTCACATCTTTTGCCTTATTTTCACTTTTATATAAAAGTGTTTACGGCATTTTGATTTGCAGTATATTCATTTTCATCCTGTCTTATGCAAGGTTGTTCATTTTCAGTTCTTACTAGGCCAGGATATTCATTTTCAAAATCTTCAACCCTCTATTTTTCTATTAATTTAAGTTATTCACATCTTTTTTTCAGATTTAGAGCTTGACATACTGTAAACCAACTAATTTTTGCAATCAATGTATTTTTTTTTAGTTTCCCCTGTAAAAAAATTACGAGAATATAAATCGTCACGATAATGTAAATTTTGTGTCATCCCTTATGTTGACATAAAGAAATCAAGATAATAAATCTCTGTGAAGCCAACTTGAAAGGACAAATCATGAAATAAAGTATCCTCGAAAGTAAGCTGTTGTTTGTTGAACACAGTATGTTGATCTATAAATTATTTGTGCTGCGAGGTTGCTGCCTCATTGAGGTATACACCACATCATCTTTTATTTTTAGATGTTATGAAATTTTCTTTTTGCACAAAATAATATAAATCTTTTTGACTTGTTCACATTGCGTGACTCAAGGCAGTTTTACAATTTCAACCTGCAGAAAAACTTATAATTTATATTGATACAATAAAACTGCAACTTTTTCAATATTTCAGCTCTGATTCAAAATATGGTTATATGAAGAAAAAAATCACAATGCAGTCCTTAAAATACAGCACTAGAATTCAAACTGCTCACAGAAAATGACAGAAAAAAAAAATAATATAACAGTCTTTAAAGATGATGCTCAAAGTGGTATACATAAATTGATTTCATATTCATGGGGGAATAAAAAGTCTACTTCTATTTGAGAGTAATTCAGGATGAATACATCAGCTCAAAACTTCTAATAAATCTTGGCAGTGTTTACTACATCTTTGAAATTGTAAAGTATAAATTTTGATGATGAGGGCAAACTTCCAGATTCCAGGGGGAAGATGTCGTGAGAAAGGTTCCTTAATTACTTTATCATACACTGAGAATATCTTATGTTTATTTATATTATGTAATTAAGTGTTTGTCTAGGTAATTACATGGCATTCTGAGAAATATACAATCAATGGACCAAGACACTCATCACATGTGATACATATTAAATTCTTAACGCGAGCACCTGTACTGACAGGCAATTTAAGCAACACCTGCATTTGATGTTTTATTGATGTAAAAAACAAAGATCAAATTTGATATGAAATTCTTTAAACAGGAACTTTTCACTCCAAATCCATTATTTCAAGAAACTTAACCACTTATAAACGAATAATTAGACATAATTCGTAGATAATGAGCAAAGACTCCAATCTTAATGAAAAGGTATAGACATGTGCTCCCCAATAAACAAAATGAGGAAAATTAATAAAATGAAACTTATAGCCTAATTTAAGTCAAAATTATCTTATAAATGATATATGACAGGAAAACAAAATCTAAAATAACACGACAGGTTCCTGACTCGTAGACACTGACATTGAGTAGATAACAGTGTGATTTTGAATTTGCTTACATGTCCTTTTTTAATATAGTCTTTACATGTTAAAAATCCATACTCAATCCACTTCTTTTAAAAAAAAACTTCTTAAATTGAAAATTTAAAAGATTTTTCTGAAACAATCTACCTTGTAGCGTTCCACTACTGGTTTGATTCAAATCATACTAATATTTATAGGTTTCAAATTGAGTGAGAATTCGTTATCTCGTGATATCAAATTGAGTCCTTAAATTTTAATTTAATAATAAACAATGCTCCATCTGTAAAGTTTATTATAATCATTGAAATTAGACAACAAGTTAATATGCACCAATATCCAATTCTGACGAGCAGATAAAATGACTTCTCTAATAGTAAAAATTCTTATTGTGTAGTGCTGACAAGTTGATAAATTTTCAAAATTCCCATATAAATCTAGAAGTAATTTGAGTACAATGAATTTTGAAATTATTTATCAATTCAGCAGCATGTGTTTTTCACACATTGTTTTGGCTTTAAAAAATTGACAGAGATGATTATGAAAAGTAATGACTGAACTCGTAATAGCATTTCAATGTTTTCTTGTAATGATAAATATGAAAACTGAAGGACATATCACAGAATTGTACACTTTATTTTTATCGCCTGCAATTTGATAGTAGTGCTACATGAGCTGGGAATAAATTGTATTACAAGGTTTTCTTGTATTGTACTCACTGATAAAAAAATATGACAAATAAAGTGAAAGTTTTGCTGAATCTACAATTTTTTTTATATAACTGAAATTTTAATAGTACTGAAGACACTGTATCATATTAACTTGCATTACTATGATTTTTTTGTACGGAACTCTCTGGTTGTAAAAATAACAACTGAATCAAATTTAAGAAGAAATATATACTCATGCAGGTCCCTCTTTACTTAACCAAAATCCCAGAATCCAGGGTGTGCACCATAATATCAAAATAAAAAAAATAAAAATAAAGGAATGAAAAATATGTCCAATTCTATTTCAGAGTTGAGCCCCTCAACCAAAATTCTGGTTCTACACCTCTAACAGATTTAATTCTATAAAGCCTTTACGACTTTCAGCTTGCATAACACATTTCTGAAATAACCTTTATGTTGCTTACATCCAAGTCATTTGGACTCTGGTGAATTGTTGTCACAACAGCAATCAAAACACATCTACCTATTTTTACATTTATTAAAAAAAATTTGGACCAAAACTTTAAGGAAATCAAATAAAAACATGTCCTGCTCATTCTATCACATTTCCATGTTCGATGAACCATGAAATCAAGCAAGGTCAAAGTACCTTACTTTGTTATATATTTTATTTCAAATTTCTTTCATAATAAACATATCTACTAAGTAATAAGGTGATGTGACTACAATACTTTAACCTGATATGGAACAGACTAACGCACAGATCAGACAACAATATGCCCCTCGAGGTAAAATCTAAGGTGGGCATAAAAAATGTTGGGGAACATCAAAACAAGAATGATATAAAACAAAACATTGGAACTCATTCCAGATCTAAACCTTGTTCAAGAGTTGCAACTTAATCATATTTGTGAAAAAAAAACAATCAAAAAAGATTTGGATTTAATTCTTACCAGTACCAAGCACTGACTACTTAGCTTAGTGACTAAATAATATGTGGGTTGTTTCATAAAATGTGTCAATTACTTTGATTGAAATGGATTACTAGTTTTCTCCTTTTAATGGAAGATTTAAGTGAATAAAATGTGTATGAAAAACAAATTAATTTGGTTGTTTTGATTTGTAATTTTTAAAAGCAGAAAATAAATGAAGCCATGAATCTCTTAAATTGTCTGTTGATACAAGGACATATATGTTAAGTTATAAATCCTTGGTTGCTACAAATAACATTCCTTTTTATTGGGACTTGACTGGTTTCCTGTAATTCAGAGCTTAACAATGATAGAGCAGACTACTAAATACTAAAACCATTTGGTACCCTAATTGAGGTTTAATATAGCAATCAATAAATGAAAAGTCTGTATTCATGGAAATGAAAACATACAGATTAACTATAATATGTATGTTAGTTGGAGTAAACCTTCTTATCATTAACTCTTTACTGCAACAAACCAGTGCACCTCTGTCAGAAGGGGGACAAATCATTCAGTTTTATTTCAATGATGTTCCCTTTCTCTTGATATTTTGTAACTCTCTACCTTTTTCCTAGGCTATTCCATAAAATTTTGCCGGAATTGATTTTCTTAGTATAACTAACTAACCTCTTTGTTTTCTTTCTCTAACAATGATATTCTTTCCATCAGTTTATTGACATCTATTGCCACTGAACTTTCTGTTGTATTATTCTGTTTAAAAAAAAAAAAAAGAAAAATTCTTAAATCATAAATCATAAATCATAGAAGACTTCATAAACTTGTGAAGATTATTTCAACTGATGGCTGAAAAAGAAGTCTGCTCTTTGCAATATGTGTAAAATATATGGCATCAAGACCTGAGGATTTTCTGAAATTTCCATTGTAAATTAATAAATTGATATTGTAGGAGTTAAGGGATAATAATATAATAATAATTTTTTATGAAATTTGTAATTTGTTTTTCTTTTAATACTGTTACCCAGAACCTTTTTGAAATTGAAATTGTCAATTCAGAATTCAATTGTTTACTTAATTTTTGACTTCACAATGTTGATACATAGATGATAGAGAGTAACTTGTCCCTTCAAAATTTTCAGTTCATGCTTAACTTATGAACTCTTGAAAAATGAGATTCTTTCAAAACTATGAAAAATATCACAAGAAACTACACATGTTTCTGAGTTGAATGATGAAAGTTTCATGAAAATTGGTAAAAAAAATAAAGTCAAATTTTTGTTATTGAAACCTTAAAAATTTATATAAAAAAACAATAAAAAATAATTATGTCTCTTAACCATGTGATATAAATCAGCATTAAATGTAGGCCAAGTTAATTCAAAACTCAATTTATTAAGAAAACCCCAAAACAAAATACTTGAAAACAAATGAAGGATTCTTTTTTATTATGATAGAATAAGATAACATATTTGTGACAGGTCGTATACATCAGTCAGAGAGTTGATTAAGCAGTGCTTTTTAATATTCTTCCGATGAAGAAAATACAGTTACCAAAGCCTGGAATTATATTCTCGTGGAGCAACTTAATGAAGTAATACATGTGACCCTCATATATCAATTGAACTGTTTTTAGCTAGCTATTATAGATTAAACTATCTAATAAACTTGGCTTTTATTCGATTAGTGGTTAATGAAGAAAGCTCAGAATATACGCTGTACTTTTATCGTTTGTTTCTTCCATTGCACTCTTGATAGAAATAAGACATTTCAAGGCTGTGATGATTTTCAAGTGGAATTTTTATTTCGCTAAAGAAAGCTTGACTTTAATGGATGTTTTGCACGAATCTATTAGAATCCACATTTGTTGGCAATAAGAATATGTGCATTGTAAAAAGGAAACTTGATTGCCTTATTTTATTTAATGTTCCCAATGGAATTATGTTAAAAGGGGAAAATAATTAAAGTTTCTTTTTGACAAAAAACCTTATGTCTCCCTTGCTACCACCTTTCTAAATTTACAAAGGAAAACTACTCTTAAAAATTTATCTGAGTTGTGAAAAAAAATTTAACATGTGATGAAGCAAATCTGTAAGGATTCAAACCATTCTAATCAAATAAATGTAAGTTTTAGAAGATTTGGCATTTTTTGTAAACAGGCAAAGGCCATGTTTTTTTTATGGGGAAAACCAAGAAATCAGTCTGATCAATGAAATAGAATAGAATGTTCTTTACAACATGAGGTTTACAGCTACTGCATGTGTATTTTTTTCAGAAATGTACTTTAAATTTTAGGTATTGAAAATATATCCAAATATAAATGCAGCACCAGTTTGGTAAAATAAGTTAACATATTTGTACTGAGTACTCTCAGATCTGTACTTAGTGTCCTTTTTGTTTTAAGGGATGAGGGATGGATAAATACCCTGTCACGTCCGGTCTGTGTTTGTGTTTATGTTTGATGTTTTTCTGCATTCTATCGATCTGATGAGTTAAGCCTTTTTCAACTGATTTTTATAGTTTGTTCTTATGTTGTGCTGTTACACCACTGTCCCAGGTTAGGGGAGGGTTGAGCCCTCACAAACAAGTTTAACCCTGCCACATTCTTTATGTGCCTGTCCCAAGTCAGGAGCCTGTAGTTCAGTGGTTTTCGTTGGTTCATGTGTCATATTTGTTTTTTTCGTAAATTGTTTTGTTATAAATTAGGCTGTTAGTTTTCTCAATTGAATTGTTTCATATTTTTTTATACGGTACGTTTTTTTCTCATTGTTGAAAGCCCTACGGTTGCCTATAATTGCTTACATCCAATTTATTTGAGCTTTGGTGGATAGTTGTCTTATTGACAATCATACCTCATCTCCTTATTTTTATATAAGTTTGAAGTACCAATTTTGTACTTTTATTGTGTTGTACTTGTAAACAGGTACCGTGACAAACCATATTGCACTTGTGCAATGAATAATAACTGCATCTTTTTTTAGTATATTTTTAGATGTAACAGTCCTCCAAAAAAGTACTAACAAGTCTATATAGTGTTTGTACCTTTATAGTTCAAAATGATTACAGTACAACTTTAGTAGACCATATTTTAATGTTTTTGCATTAAATTAATGTTTTATGTTTAGTTATCAGAATATATTAGAATATAGTTTGATGTGCGATATGGGTTTTGCTCATTGTTGAAGGTCATATAGTGACCTATAGTTGTTAACTCCTACGTCATTTGGTCTCTGGTGGAAAGTTAATTGTCTCATTGGCAATCATACCAAATCTTCTTATTTTTATATCAAATATATTTTATTTACAAATATTATAATTTGTAGTCTGCTAGTTTATTTAGGTATCTAGAACTGTACATTACATATTGATTAATTATTATGTTTTCGATTAGTATAAAGGAAAAATTAGTCGGGAATCTTTTGTTTAGCTTCTTTTTGTTTTGGTCAGTTGGCTAGATTAGTCTTTATCGTAAAAAAAAAAAGGATCTTAAGTGGTAGCCATTTCTTCAGTTAATGGAAATTGCCATAGTTTTGTATAATTGTCTAGGCCCATCATATTCTTTATTTTAGGTGTTATATTGATATTTATAGAAATGTAGAGACAGGTGCTTTACCAATCACTTGTATAGACAGGACTAGTGCATGTGCACTACATGTAAGTGTCATTTCATTTGAATATCTACATCAATAATGATGAAATAACCTTTAGACCCACACAGCTTGTTTCTGATTTTTTTTACAAGGAAAAGCCTGAAGTACAAATGGAGTAGTGCAAATGGTACTTAAAGGGAAAATTCACGATTTTTTACTTATCATCTTAATATGTTCATAATACCATAAAAAACATATTCACCAAGTTTTATCTGGATATGAACACTAATAAAGAAGAAAATTGGGAATTAATAATTTTATTTATTCGAACTTCCTGACTTCTGTGACGTAGTTTAAGTCTTTTTGCATGCCGGGAGTGGATTAATCTCATTTTAAGTCTTGTTCGTTAACCATCTTATAACGCGATTTAAAGCGCATCGACGACTTTTGGCGTAGCTATTAACCAACTAATAATTCAGAAAGAAAAGTGATCAGCCGTGCAACTTTTAAAATTAAAATGCACCTTTTATATTTTAAGGATTTCTGATATGATTATAGTAATAAAAGTAAATCATACAATAGAATGTTTTTATGATTTTTTTTCCGACGGATATGTTGAACAAACATATATAACTGATAGTGTAATAAAAATGCGTTTGTATTCTCACCTATTACTTCAGTCGAGGATTTGTCTTACTATACAAATTCTTGATTCAGTCTAGTACTGTGTAAATACAATGCATGTGAATTATACTGACACCACCTGGTAAAGGCGTGGTTAAATTCACGGTTATTAAAAGATTAGCATTATGTAATTTTAATCTTTTGATCTTCACAAGAGTTTTGTTTGGCCTCAAGGGTTCACCGTTGTAAGTATGAAAAAAAACATGGGGAAAAAAAGGATAAAACAGAAGTGCGGGTTTGAGACAGGATTTTTTTTTTTAGTATTTGGGGAGGAATATGGTGGCAAAATAACTGAATCGCCGTTATATAATTTTTAATATTTTGCGTTAGCTCAATTTAAAAAAAAATAGGTGATCATTTTGTTGTAACATCGAAATTCTTTTAATTAAATAAATTTATAGATAAAAATGGCTCACGAAAACGTGCGTATAAATCAAAACTGTACTATTTCAAATTATCATCGGTAACCTTGAATATTTATTTAAATGTGCAGAGAGAATTATCAGTTACATTAATATAGTTTGGTCCGTCCAAAGCGATCTACATATACCTAATCGGGAGTGCCCTGATTAAAATATTCTAAATCTCACAACAACGTATACACTACCAAGAATTTACCAACGTTTTTTTGGTACATTTCTACCCTCGTACATATCAGTACTGTTCGGCAAGACTAAAAACTTGTAATGTTATACTTTCTATTATTTCAGTACTGTTCATTATTATACAATAACTGTACCGTAACTAATTCTATAAATTCAGTACTGTTTTTTTCAGTACTGATTTCGTCAGTACTGTTTCAGTACTGATTTTGACAGTACTGTTTCAGTACTGATTTTGTCAGTATTGTTTCAGTACTGATTTTGTCAGTACTAGTTCAGTACTGACTTCGTCAGTAATGTTTCAGTACTGATTTTGTCAGTAATGTTTCTGTACTGATTTTGTCAGTAATGTTTCAGTACTTAATTTGTCAGTATTGTAATTGTACCGATTTTATTAGTACTATTATTGTACTGATGTTTGTCATTTACTTTTTTAATAAATACTTACTTTTTAGTGCGCACCTTATCCATATATATCAAAAATAGTTGTTTCTTTAGGTATAGCTGTAGCAGTCGATTTGGTGTGGTTTATCTTTTTAATCTGAATGCATTTTGTTTCAAAAAATATTGGGAATTGAAAACTTATAAACTAAGTAAGTATAGTATGGTATATTGTGACATGTTGATGACTCTTTTTTATTTTTTTTATATTTTGTATCTTGTGCAGACATCGCTGATTCAGTGTTGACCTCTATCATTAGAGAAATTTTGACACATGTGCATCTGAGTACAATTGGTATCCAAAAATAGGTTGGATAATTCCGTGACTATATTATTATAATCCTTGTTTAGCTGGCTACATATAAAAACTTATGGTTTTTCTCTTCGACTATATCACTCTGCTGAGCAGGACTTTTTAGCGACTTGAAAATGACTGAGGAAAAGTATCAAGCTTACTTTCGTCTATCAAAAAACTATTGAAGTGAAGGGAAAAACAACAAAAATGAAGCAAAGTAAGCAGTTTATCGGATTTTCTCTAGGGAATTGTTTACCCTTTAGAAGCATATGAATTCATTCCCGGTTTTTAGTCGAGTTGGTGTTGTTTCTTTTTATGTATTTTAACTGTTGTTGTAAATGCACTTTGGTTTTATGAGTCTTTGTTTACTCCTTGATTTTGATTGCGACTGTCTTTCTGTGTTTAAAAAAAAATACGCAATCGACACCAGAGAGATTTACATTGTGGTTCGAGGCTGATATTTTACAATATCAATGTGTATAAAACCGCACAATTTATACATATATCTAACAAGATAAGAATCTTCAATACTGATCATTTTTGGTATTTTGCTATTGCTTAAAACATGTTGACATTAATGATTCCATATGTTAATATGTTAGGCAATGTATTGTAATTAACATAAAACAATGTCTCATCTCCTTTTTTTTTTTTTTTATCATAACTGGAATTTCTTTTATTTATCATAACAATTGTTTTAATATAATAATCTTTATTGTCAAATAAACATATGAAGTCTGTGACAAAAATGTCAATCATTTTCATGCCGATAATTTGTAAAGTTTCAAATGATTTTTCTTTCATATTTTCCTTTCAGAGTAAGAATACTTGAAAAAAACTGGGAGGGTTATTATGAGAAAATTAAGATAATGCCTTTACCAAGTTAAGAATATGACGGTTGTTTTCCATTCGTTCTGCTATTTGATGTGCTTTAGCGTTTGGTTTTGCGAGATGTTTATGAAATTTCCCCGCTTTTTAAAATTTTTCAGAGTTCAGTATTGTTGTAATCTACTTTTAGAAACATAGTTTGTAATCTTGATTTTTGGCAGCAGCAGACTTTATTTCATATGGATGTACCAGTGACATTTAAGTTTTTTTTTATTTATGTAAAAGCTGGCAAACATGGCGTATTCTTGCTATGTAGCAAGTTTTTGGTGAATTTGAAAACAATTTTTCATAAAATATTGCCTGCAAGCACCATTACATTTTTTTTATATAACGGAGGATTAAGATTTGCACATTTTAAATTATTTAAAGAATATTTCTGTTGATATATATATATTAAGTACAAAATATAGTTAAATTCAACAGAAACTTAGGATACAATTGTACTATATAACCCCTTGATTATTTTATGACCCTTGTAATTAAGGTTCATAAATAAAACAATCAAAGAAACACTTAATTTTGCTTGTATCATGTTTTATTGCTCTCCCCCCTTTGCCATCTTTTCTTTGGAATGCTTTATAGAATGTCAGTTTCCTGGCTGGTGTCTTTTCCTCAATTCAGTCTCACATATGATGTGTCTTGTTACATGTAGATTGGTAATTCCAGAGGACTCCCTAGTTCTAATATGAGCTCATTACAAGCATCCATTTTTTATGTTTTGGTACTTGTACGAAACTCAACGGAATTACATGGTTTATGATTAAATATTGTCTTTTCTGATGAATGCCATATTAAAATACATCCTTCTGTATATAGGTCTTTAATTTTTACATCGTACGTTCCCATTTCAGCGGCTGTCTTCTATGCTGTTAATCATTCTGAGAATTTATTCCTAAATAAAAAAAGCAAAATATGATAATTAAATCCATCAACCTCGAAGTATTGGTGTTTGCCAGTGACAAATATTTCATGCACATGTAGCTTTAACCATCAGTCTATTTATGTGCTCTTTATAATAATTATAACGTGTCAAAAGTTTGCAGTTGATGATTAAAATGGTGTAGAAAGTTTCTGCAAGTCATAAAAACATAAATAATTAGTTTCATGATATGTCTTCAACTTAGTATTTTGCACCATCTCCAAAACCAGAGTGATCGCATAGATCCAGCATGGCTGAATAAAAAAATCTCAAAGTAACTAAAATGTTATTGTAAAACATTTCAAACGAGAAAAATAATAAACAATATATAGCAGTCAATGTGGCGGGATTATATAAGATTGTTGGCACCTGGGACAATGGTGGACGGTATCGGGTCCGTTCGCGCCCAATACACGTTCGCACCCTACACGTTCGCACCCCACACGTTCGCCCCCTAGGTCCGTTCGCACCCTACACGTTCGCACCCTTTTTTTATTCAAAAACCTGATAAATTTTTAGATGTTTTGTAAAATATTTTTATTTTCATAAATAAAAATTCGGGAATTTTTAAATGAAATATTGTTTTAAATTGATTTGATGATTAATTATTAAATGTTAATTATGTATGATTACTGCTAATTGGTATTTATACACAGCCTAATATGATGTTATTGTTGGGTGTTTAAAAATCATGATTGTTGTCATGGTTGTTACTTGCTTTAAATGTAAATACTGCATGTATTTAGCTTGGTATGAGTAAAACTTTGAAGATTTTAAATAAAAAAAAATGAAAGATAATTGTTTTTAACAGCTTGGGTCCTTTGATCTCATGTGTGTCAGAATCTCACTTTATTCATAAACAATGAAAAAAAATATTTATAGCAATACACTATCCAAAACATGATTACGAATTAATCAACATATAAAAAAAACGTTGTCAGAATCCCATTTCCTTTTGAAACAATAAAAAAGAAATATTTATAGCAATACACTAACCAAAACATGATTAAGATTTTATCAACACCTAAAAAAACGTTGTCAGAATCTCACTTTATTTAGAAACAATGAAAAAAAAAAATTTATATATATATATTTGTTTTACATGCACACGTATAAAAATTGCGGTTTTTATCCAACGCAATCATAGGTTTGAACGTTGTTTTCAATTTAGACTTGTATATATATAGATATATATAGAGCAATACACTTACCTAAACATGATTAAAAATTATTCAACACAAAACTAAAATACTGGTCGTCAGAATCTCACTTAATTTAAAAACAATGAAAAAAAAATGTTAATAGCAATACATTTACCATTTACCATGACACACAAAAAACCTTGTCAGAATCTCACTTTATTTAGAAACAATGAAAAAATATATATTTATAGCAATACACTTACCAAAACTCGTTTACAAATTATTAAACACAAAACCAATAAAAATTGGGCGCGAACGTGTAGGGTGCGAACGGACTTTGGGTGCGAACGTGTAGGGTGCAAAAGTGAAAGGGGGCGAACGTGCATGGGGGCGAACGTGATTGGGCGCGAACGGACCCGGATTCATGGTGGACTAATATCAAAATGTATCACAAATAAATGAAGCATCGGTAAAAAAAAAAAACCCGGTCAAAATAGGAACAAGTGGGATCGGGACAGAAGAGAAAGAAGTGGGAAGTGGGAAAAGATCGGAAAAAAATACTGTGTGACAAAAACACAGGATTTGAGGAAATGAGCATGTCACGTGTCGGTCGGATCCAGCAATTTTTAAAAAGGGGATCCAAATCAGGAGATAGGGTTCCCAAATTTATTTTCCCTTTCAAATGCATTAATCGCCAAAAAAAAGGGGGTTCCAACCCTCGGACCCCTCCCCCTGGATCCGCCGATGCCCACCCCCTTTTCCTTATCATATGTTCAGAAACATTCAGGATTTATCATTCTCAAATATCAATTATTGATTGATATTATTTCATAACGTTTGGTCAAGTAGTAATGAATATGAATATTCCAACTATATGTCCCCATTCAAATTCATTGATCGTCCCATAAAAGGGGGGTTCCAACCCCCGGACCCCCCTAGATCCGCCAATGTGTAACGCGTATTCTCCTACTTAGGATATGTGTTTTAAATTAGCCATGCGGCATGCGACAATTTTCTCAGTTTTAAAATATTCAATATATACCATACCTTTTGTCCAGAAGAAGTTTGAACTGTTGACTTGTTGAAATGTCACAGTGCGAGTGCAAAAATAACGTTTGTAAACAATGAATGACGTCATGAAATCCAATCACATATATAAACGTAGGCAATTGTAATACTATGTTCAATATTAACCCTCTTGCTGCCAAAGGGACATTTACGGCTTCTACACACAAATCTTGTTGATTGTGTAGAACGTCAAAGTTCCATAGTAACGTCACAATACTGAGAAGCACTGACAATGTCAAAAGACGGCGCCAAAAGGACGATTTTGGCGGGAATGAAGGTCATGAAGCATTTTACTGAATTAAATGCATTATTTGTATACTTAAAACGGATGTCAAAAAATGATACAGGATCATAAGCTTGTTAGTACTGTAATACCAACTTATTTAACGTGTTTACTAATCATCTAGTTCGTCATTTTCATGTAAAATGTTGCATACTAGTACTTTCGAGAAATTTGTTAAACATCAGTTTTTTTTCATACATCTTTCAATCAGAATATCTCATATAATAATCGCATTCCTAATAAATAATCATAGAAAAGGTAACTGTTATACTTGATTACGCGAAATATTAATATACACAATACACGCTTTAGTTAAGAGAACTGGAAAATTTCTTTAGGACTCAAATGCCGCGATTGAATTCTCAGTGAAGATTTTTTTTGTAAAAGTACATAAATGTTACCCGATATACTTGTATTGCCATACGATATTTCAATACATTTTATTCCCGTTTCATCATTTAAGCATTAATATAAAAAATATTTACTTTCATTCGAAATGGGGATGCTAAATAAGGGAGCTACCATTTGATTTTTATGGGGGTCTAGGATGAAATTTGAAAAAAATAGGCAGACAGGAGTTTTGAGTAAAAAAAAGGCAGGATGAGACACTTGCAAAAAAAAAAAAGTCAGGATGACAATTTAGGTAAAAAAAAGTCAGGATAAACTTAAAAAAAAGGCAGGACCGAATAGAGTGAAAAATAAAAAGGCAGGACAGAGATTACAACTAAAAAAAAAATGCAGAACAAAATTTTTCATCCTAGCCCCCCTCCCATAAAAATCAAATGGTAGCTCCCTAAGTAGGTGACCCAATGATTTTTTTCCTATCCTACAAATCATCCTTTCCCAGCCCTTGGCAAAATCTCAATTTTGAGCCATTCATCACAGATCTTTTACTTTGTAGGAACCACTGAGCAACAGATTTATTGTACATTAAATTTCAGACGTCCTAAATATTGCATGAAATACATGTACTTGCCAACTTGGTTAAGAATCAGTTATGCATTTCACTTGACAAAGATAAAACAAAAGCGCTTATAAAGCTAGTAGCAATGGGTATATTATTTTCATTTTTTTTTATAAAGACAAGAAAGATAAAAAAAAAACCTATATTTCAAGGTTAAAAGTTGTATTTTTAAATAATGTTGTATCAAAAACATCGTTTATAACAATCTTAGAGCAATAGTTTTCATAAAATTACTTTTACATCGCTTTTCATAATTACGGCTCCATTGACGCGGGAAAAATTATGGACGGCGGGAAAGCGCTGTTCTACAGCGAGGCACAAGTTTTGCAACGTCACAGATATGAAACGTCAATATAGCAAGAAAAAAACTCAGCAAGAGGGCGGCAAGATTTTGAGACAGAGAAAATATTGTTCTACAAGCCACTTGCAAAAAGTCTTAAAGTTATAGAAACAGACGATTTCCACGACAAGTCAGAGATGGAGGGTCCTTTTCGAATCGTCTACGAATTGCTATTGTTCATGTAAGTTTTACAAACTTAAGAAATCATACTTTTACTCGTTTTTTTTTTTGTGAACATCCTGATATAATTTTTTAGATTTTGTCTTCTATTTCGACAAAAAACTAGGCCTATTTGATCCTATTTCAATGCACTTTTTTAGTGCTAAGTCAATAGAGTTGGGTGCTCATTTTCGCCATAATTTTCCATGTTTTCTGCAGTTTATGTTCAGCCGGTATTTATGTTTTTGAAGTATACTGATATTTCTATATGAAGATAACATCAAAAGAAAAATATTCTTAGCTTGAAAACGTGTTTCTTTGAAAAAAACTCATCTAAAAAGTTAGATTAAAGGCAATTTGAAATTTCCTGATGTTTTGTCAAAGGGGGACACATATTCGCCATTTTTACACATCTATTTAAAACCACATAACTGCAGCTTAAAACAGTATTTATCAAAACGTTGTACGTTTTTTTGGTCCTTTGCGGTAAGTGCCAAAATTTTGTCTAAGTTTAAAAAATAATCATATTTGTTATAAAAATATAATTTACCGTCACATTTCTTCCATTTCATCCATCCTTTGAAGTTTTTACACCTCAAAATCATAAAACGGCGAAATTGTGTCCCCGGCGAATATGTGCACCTCACTCTAATTATTTTTCTGAACATAAATACACACTTCATGCATGTAATTATTAAGAAAAATACATCCAAAAAAACCGAAAAGAATAGAATATTAACAATGTCAATGAATGATTTTTTCCTCAGTGTCATCTGGATTATATAACGGTTTAGCACATAAAGTTACAGTATAAAATTACCTTAGAGTCTACCTTTTTGATTCCGTTAACGTCAGACGTATGCAGTCAAATTCACAACTGTATTCACCCAAATTGCCTTTTAAAACAAACAATAATTGTGTGTACATTTGGTTCACATGCATGTTGACATTTATGTGTAAGACAAAAAAATTATTATGTCAAAAAATGTCTTTCCTTTGGAATTTAGTTCAAACGGGTTCCATAAGGGGTAACAGAACGTTAGACTTGCATATATTTGTTTATAAAAAAGAAGATGTGCTATGATTGCCAATGAAACAACTCTACGCAAGAGACCAAATGACACAGAAATTAACAACTATAGATAGGTCACCGTACGGCCATCAACAATGATCAAAGCCCATACCGCATAGTCAGCTATAAAAGGCCCCGAAATGACAAATGTAAAACAATTCAAACGAAAAAACTAACAGCCTAATTTATGTACAAAAAAAATGAACAAAAAACAAATATATAACACACCAACAAACGACAACCACTTAATTACAGGCTCCTGACTTGGGACAGTCACATACATACAGAGTGTGGCGGTGTTAAACATGTTAGCGGGATTATATTTTTTACCTATATTCTTTTATAATAAGATACAAACTAAAGAGACATAAATTTTGCCTCCAACGGCAAGTGAGAAAAGACCAAGAAACAGAAAACAGACAATTATCCAATGTCCCTTCTTTTTTCACGGATTTAATGCAACTTTAGAATGGCAGGTTTCTCATATCAGTCCCTTTGTTGTCTGTATGAAGTAGCCATAAAGAATAGAGAATAATGTGGTGCTTAAATATAAAGAAAAGAGAATAACAGGCAAAATTTATAATAAATAGTGAAAATGGTATAAAATATTAAAGAATACAGAAATGAAGAAACCCCATCCAGACCCTTTTATAAAGTGCACAGTTTTCTTTGCTTTCTTAATCTTCCTGTTTGAACCGGTCTTGTCCTGGTTTTCATACGGCTACAAGGGAAACTGCATGTGAAATTTATATGAAGAGATCATGTACATACACTTTGTAGAAATATATTTTTTTTTATTGGTCAATGATTGAATTTATGTCGGTTCAAGGCTCCATTAGTCCGACACCCCAAAAGTCCGACGACCCAATGAACCGACACCCTAATAATCCGACACATAATTATTGAACAAAATTTCGTATAAATAATCTTTATTTCAAGAGGATAATTCCATTATATAAAAATAATCCTACTGAGTCAGTGAGAGTCCTCAAAAATACTAACACATTCATAAAGTACTTACAATACATGTATTCAAAATGTGCTTAATGTCCAGTGGCAAATATTACATGCATGTTCCAAACAATTTAATTATATAATAGTTATTGAAAAACTGGTCATGATCGTGATATATGGACTGTCCTATCTATGATTATAGAATTGACTGTCATACAGACTCTAATTTCATTGTCATGGATCATTGAACATGTCAAGTTTCTGTGGTACTTTTATGCATTAAACTTTCAAAAGAAATAGTGCATGGTCAGTAAAGCAGGCACGACATTTCAGCGTGGACACTCTTGTTATATAAATGTGTTATAATATTTCAATTGACCACTATTTCCCAAAGATTCCTGATTTAGGACAGGCACTTTTATTCCTGTTCGTGTATGTGGCGACTTAACCCACCTGTATGTCCTTTTGCCCTTATGTCCCATGTGTCATCAATTGCTCATTAACCACTTGACAGAACTTTGTAACACTTCGATACAATCTTTCTCTCATGATGTACTTTTTCAAATGACAATTTATAAAGTATTAGGTTCATAAATAATACCATAAAAAGCATGTTGGGAATAACAACTTTTTACAAATTGATGCAAAATATTTGATGCAGTATCTATTGTTATAGGTTTCCAAAAATGGATCCCACCAGAACAAAAATAATAAGTCTATGAGGAAAATAAAGGCATAGATCAACAACTAAAAACTGTAATGCACAGATAATATATAAGATCGAGATAGAACTGGTAAGAAATTAGGATTTTTTTAGGTAAGTATTTTCAGTTTGTCCGTATTATTTTATTTCAATAACATGAAATGTTGTAGTGCGCTCATGAGACAACAAACCAACAACGATTAATTCAAAAGAATAGAGAGCAGCATTCAACAATTGAAAGATGTCAATATGGTTAACAAAGAATCCTATGGGAAGTACATATCCATACACAAAACCTCTCAGTTAACTGTTTGACAGATTGCATTGATATTGTGCTCGAATAATCAGATTATGTTTTGTTTTGGTGCCGATCCAAAGATGAGTGTCACATCAGGACATAGTTTAACATATGAACCTAAAGGAAATCTAAACAAAGATCTCCTTCTCTGAAACTAGATTACAGATTGAAATGATAATTAATTTAATCAGAATTGCCACTGTTACAAATAATGAAAAATTCAACAACAAGAATACTTTTTTAAA